GGGAAGCCCTGTGGTGTTGAGCAGACCGATTGTCTGGGAGGGAAGGGTGGATGTGATGGGATTATATTCTGATCTCATCACTTGCTGTATAAAAGTTTGTGCAGTTTCTCAATAAACCAGAGTTTGTTTACCCTACACTCGTGTCCCGTCCAGTGACTGGGGAAACTGGGAGCTAAAGATAGGCTGGTTCCAATATCTCCAGAGCAAGGAAGAAGACAGCGGCGGACATACTCATCCTGAGTACGGGGGTCCGTCACAATAGCAAACAAGTTGAGTGTAAAAAATAAATTTAAAGTAACATAAAAAAACATTTAAGTCCCCGCCCCCCACATGCACACAAACACAATGCAAACACACGTCAGGATATGTTACAGGCGAATACATTTTTAAGGCTTGACATGTTTGGTATCTATTTACCCGGCGTGACCCCGTCTTTCATATTTTACCAAAAAATTGGGTATAAGATCCTGTTTCTGTGCACTAAATTTCATTGTAGTGTATTATATCTTAAAAATACTGGTTTGATAAACATTTGCGCAAATACCGTGCGACATAAAAAATTGCAACTATCATTATTCTACAGGGCCTCTGCTTGCAGAAAATATAATTGTTTGGTGGGCTGAAGCTGTTTTCTAGGCAAAATTTCTGATTTTTATCATGTGTGTGTGTGCAAATGTAAGAAATTGCTCCAGGCAGCAAGTGGTTAAAGCAGACTAAACCCACCGATTTAACGGTTTCCCGAACGGAATCTTAAGTTAGAAATCTTCAATAAATGTTATTCTTGGTCAAACATCCCAATCTTGATTTCTTCAGTGTTTTATTTATATTCTGCCTACTAGTGCATGCACCTTTATGTCATGCCTCTGGTGATAATTCTCACATTATGTCAATGCCAGTTGATCTTTTAAGCCTTCGAATGGCTGTTTTTGTAGCAGGTCACGTATGCAGCATAATGGTCATCCAAACAGAGGCTAAAATGGCACCATCCTTGGTGGATAGGAGGGTTAAGTTCCACTTTTTTTAAACATAGGAGGAGGTTGGACACTGTAAAACAGTCGGTTTTCACAACAATTTTGTTTCTTTAAAGGAGAACTATGGGGTCAGGGCTTTTCCCCATAGTTCTCAGGGTAACGGGAGGACACAAACTAGCGTCCTCCCGTCACCCTGGTTTACATGCGTTTAGCTGAGTTTAGGGTCTCTAATCATATCCTAGCAAAAAGTTTCCCAGCACACTCACCAGCCAGCATGCTGACTGGTGAGGTGTGCTGGGAAACGTTTTGCTATTACTGTTTAAAGCCCTTCCATGTGCACCTTGCCGTAAAGCTGGTAACAAATTGATGAGTGCGTTTGGCATTTGTTTTGCTTGTCTAATCATATCCTAGACAGATTTCTATTTGATCTAAATACAGGTAAACACTCAGTTTAATTGATACCATTGAAAAATCATAAGATGCATTTATATGTCCTCTAAATGCAGGTTTGACACTACCAGTGTGAATAAGGCCTCGCTCTAAACTATTCCTAGAACTGGATTTATAAACAAAAAACCCTACCAGACTACAGTGTGAATCGGTGTCATTCTCTGCCATTATTTGTTTTCTACCGTGGCTTTATGATATTTAACATTTTGCCATTTTAAAAGCTACGGTAATAAAACCTCAGTATACGGTATAAGAAATTGGATGTTTGAAAATGGAATTTGTGATCTCTAGAGTTTCCAGTCTTTGTCTCCTTTGCAAGGTCATACATCTCCTGCCTGTCTCCTCAGATAAGTGTCGGTTACTGAAATATTGGGCTGGGACCCCACAGCCAAGCAAGTAGGCTATGGCTACTGTGTGTATCAGTGTGTGCGCGCCGCAGCACGTACAACTGTATGAGAGGCAGGAAGTAAATTCTTTATTATTATTGCTATTATTTTAGTTTCTTCCCAGAAATGAATGTGACCCAGGGACGGGTGGGGGAAGAGAAGACAAGGAGGAGGGAACTTCCTGCTCCATTGAGGAGATTCTTTTGTATTAGCATAGACACACAGATAATGCTCTGAGTCTACTCATAGCAACTACAAATACATTTAAGGGATTGTATCATTTTGTCATTGTTTAGAAAGCGATCAGTTTGATGCATATAATTGTATCACTATGGTTTTTTGTTTGTTATGTACGTTACGTTATTGTATGGATGTTTCTCCTGCACCTCCTTACGGCGTCTGGAAAGAGTATTCAATGTGGTGCTCGCAGTGAGCGCCGTGTAACTTCAAGTTAGAAAAGTGGAAAACTTGGATGTCACATCTATCACAAAAGTCAATGTTTCGGGGCCACGCAGGGTTCCTACATAGTGATGGATGTGACATCAATAAATGATCACGAAAATCTAAAATGCCAGTTACTGAGTGCCCGTGATTATCCACTTTTCTAACATGTATAGGAGCAAACATTTGCTTACACCATATACAGGCACTGCTACTTAATTTTCATTGGTACGCAGTGGTTGTGCTTTACTGATCCTTCTCACAGTGCAAATCCATGGGTCAGCTGACTGTTTGAAAAGCATTCTCTCCCTGTGTGTCTAATATCTTCACTCAACAGTTCTTAGGAAAGAGAGAGTGTAATTTATACTAAGCTACCAATTGCTTCTCTAGAGCCGGGCTAGGTAACCTCGGCACTCCATTGTGGAGCTACAAGTCCCATGAGGCATTGCAGGACTCGGACAACCAGAGGCGTGATGGGATGTGTAGATTCACCACAGCTGCAATGCCAATGTTGCCTACTCCTGCTGTAGAGGCTAATCTAATTATTTCTCTATTTAATACAATAACAAAATGATGTAAACGCAAGATTATAAAAATGTTATATAAATGGTTCTAATATGCACTCATTGATTAGCCGTTTTAAATTGTGGTTGTGCTTTCAGGAAGAGGATTGTCTAGGTGTTTGTTTTATAGGCATAAACATCATCAATGAAACACCTGGTCCATTTCTAGGGACTTTATTACCAGTGCCAGTTGCTGACCAGAATGGGATGACCCTTTAAATGTTTATTAGTGGCAATGAAGTGGCCCCAGAATCCTGTTGGTCACTTAAGTAGCATCCAGGGTCTGGCAGATTGAAGTAAGAACAGGTTGGGTTACTGCAATACAAACGTCAGCAGCACTGTAGATGATTTCTATACTCTGAACAAAAGAAACTTCTTTGCCATCCATATTTGTCTTTTAATATTACTAGTTGTCCTTTCATTTTCTGAATTACACTAGAAAATTGCGGTTGGATGGATTTGACTGGTTCATAACTCTTTTACGGTTCCTTTTTTTGTTTTGACTATGATTAAGTATGCAGCAGTGTCTTTGCTGGGGGCCTAAGAACTTTTTTTACTGCGCTCAGTGTGTGGAAAAAAAACTTTACATATTCTTAACACGCAGTGAAAGCTTTAAAGGGTTAATTGACCTTTTAAATAAGATTTACAATGCAGCCGGTTGCACTAGTAGTTTACAAATCATGGTGCAGTATAACTATGAGCCTTATTTAAATTGCATACTTAGAGGCCAAGCATGGCTTCTACAAAGTCTGGCCAAAAAAAGTAACATCCAGAGCAATCCGCGCCATCCTGCATATAAGCTAGGACTGATGATACACTGTGCGTGTTCCCATCATCATTGGACCAAGTTCAGCACTCTCCTTCCTCCTGTTACACCACCGCTGTGACTCTGTTGTGAAGATTTGAAATGGAATTTTTCCACAATGCCTATAGTGCCAGAGGTGAATAAGAGCTTGTTTTAGTGTGCTGTTACTGCTTGTTCAGATTATGAAGTACTTGAAGTAGTTTGCATAGTCTTGGCACAGGATCATTGACTTCACAACTTTGCTTTGTGGCAAAACCAGTTTGATGGGTGTTGGCAGCCAGCCAATTTAAAATGAATGGGCTGGTTAACATGCAGCGTAATGCACATGAATTCACCACAAAGGTGTGGAAATGTAAAGTCACACACCACATGCAGAGGAAATTTAGACTGTCTTGATGCAGTTTAATACTCCTATTGGCCATACATAAAAGGATCTAATTCTTCGGAAATGAACGTTTCAAGTTTGGCTTTCCTTCAGGGTAAATAGAGAAGTGGGCAGAATGTTTCAGCCCTCCTGTTCCCTTTTGGGAAACCAGAACCCGGTGATATGATTGATAATGAATTTTACACATTGGGGAGAGTTTATCGTAACTGGAGCAGACAGAATCAGGCGCAGTTGTTCATGGTAACCAATCAGCTTCTTTCTTCAGTTAAGGTTTGAAAATGAAAGCTAGAAGCTGATTGGCTACTATGGGCAGCTGCAGCTGATCAGATTTGATAAATGCCCC